GTGTACTTATATAAAAATATATATAAAATATATATAACATATATATTATTATAATATATATAATAATAATATATATAAGCACACATATAAATATAAAATCATTACAGCAATATTTATGTATCAACGGTGTTTGCGTATATTATTATTTATATTCTTTTTTATTATATATATTTTATATATATATTTTTATATATACTATTATTTATATAATTTATATACAATATACAATTATTTCGTGCGATTTCTCACCGAATATTCAACAATTCAACGAATCGCAGAACCGCGAAAGGCGAAAACGCGAATCTCTTTCCACGCGAAGCAAGAAAGCAAGGGAAACGAATCCGCGGTCACGGTTGCGACTTCGAACAATTCTATGGACTCGTGGCAAAGACAAGAAAATAAGACACGCGACGCTAGAATCAACATAATAACTATCAGCTTTTGCTCTTGCCGGCGAGGAAGTCTATCAACAACGGTGAACCTGTTACGACGGTCGTAGCTGCGGAATAAATCGCGCAGCGCGAGGAGAAGTTAAAAGGCGTAATAAACCGAGTGGAGTTTCTGTGTCTCTCGCAACCGACACGGGAGAATGTTTATCCGGCGAACGGTTTACAAGTGATCCAAGATGGCAGAGTTATTGCAAAATTTGCAGCGAGCACACGGGCTATAGCACAAGAGAGAGCGCATATGTTTATCCCGGTCTATTACCGTGCAACACGTACACGGTGCTTGGAAGCTTTCAAATCTCTCGAGAACCGCGCGTGCAATAAAGTTTTACGGTGGGTCAGAATGACCCAGACCCGTCGGCCGCGTTCGACGGCGCACGTTCCGCGCCCTTCGACCAGCGAATTTAAAAAACGGATGGTTAGACAGAGGGTCAAAAGCACTGAACGGCCAGAGAGAGAGAGAGAGAGAGAGAGAGAGAGAGCAACGTTGCCCGCGTACGTGCGTGGGTGCGTGGGTGCGTGCGTGCTCCTTCACGTATTCACGTGTGGCGTCGATACGCGGGCAACACCCCCTCCCCCCTCCTCCTTCTCGCGCACGATGAGAATTGATCACGCGAATATGCTAATGCGTTCGAAGACCTCGTAAAGAAAATTCTCGGGGGATCGGTAAATCCGTTCATTATCCGACGGAAATGTACAGCGTGCTCCAGAAAGAATAGGTATTATGCTCTGATTATTATTTTTATTAAGAATTATTATTATTATTATTAAGGATAGGTATTATGCTCCGATTATTATTATTATTAAGGATAGGTATTATGTTCCGATTATTATTATTATTAAGGATAGTTATTATGCTCCGATTATTATTGTTATTAAGAATTATTATTATTATTATTAAGGATAGGTATTATGCTCGATCTGTCTCTTATACACATCTAGATGTGTATAAGAGACAGGGACAAACTTACTTCAAATTACCTCGGGAACCTCCTATTCTCGGATGGCGAAACATTTGTGGGACAGCCTCTGTATAATACCTATTCGATCCGAGCATACCTATCGAGCATAATACCTATCCTTAATAATAATAATAATCGGAGCATAATACCTGTCTCTTATACACATCTAGATGTGTATAAGAGACAGGGTATTATGCTCCGATTATTATTATTATTAAGGATAGGTATTATGCTCGATCTGTCTCTTATACACATCTAGATGTGTATAAGAGACAGGGTATTATGCTCCGATTATTATTATTATTAAGGATAGGTATTATGCTCCGATTATTATTATTATTAAGGATAGGTATTATGCTCCGATTATTATTATTATTAAGAATTATTATTATTATTATTAAGGATAGGTATTATGCTCGATAGGTATGCTCGGATCGAATAGGTATTATACAGAGGATGTCCCAAAAATGTCTCGCAATCCGAGAATAGGAGGTTCCCGAGGTAATTTGAAGTAAGTTTGTCCTTGGCGAAAATGCGATCCACGGCTTTGTTTACGAGTTATTAACGAAAAAGGGTGGACCAATGAGAGGTGAGATATGCCGGGGCAAGGCGGCCGAGCCAATCAGCGGAACTGGGCTTCGTGCGCTCGTTGGCTCGGCAGCCAAGCGCTAGGCGAGCTCGCCTCTCATTGGTCAGTGTTTTTCGTTAATAACTCGTGAACGAAGCCTCGGAGAACATTTTTGTAAAGGAAGAAGTTACTTCAATTGATCCCGCGAACTTCTCATTTCTGGTTTGCGAGACATTTTTGGGACACCATGTAGTTCCCGAGGTGATTCGAAGATACTTTTTCTTCGGCGAAAATGTCCCCCGTGGCTTCGTCGACGAGTTATTAGTTATTGGTGCTAATGAAACGTCGGATTTTCTTTGTCGAACGCGAACGTTTGTCTCCCTGTTTTCGTTATGCTTTTGTTTTTGGCATAACCTCGTTTATAGTCGTATAGTCGTCCATTGCCGGGGTCACGTTTCGACGAAAAAGATTTTCTCAAAAGTGTACACTCTTATCAAAAATGTACCATTTTGCTGTTCGTTTTGAATTTCGTAAGGATACGAATTCGCGTAATTCGATATTCGTGTAATTTTTTTAAACGCGTATAAACTCGCTAATGATGCTGCGAAAGCTGCACGCAATATAAACCGGGCGTTTGGGGAGAATACTGCTGTTAACGATCGAAAAGTGCAGTGTTCGGTTGAAAATTTTCGGTCCGGTGATTTTTTAGAAATTTCCTATAAAATGAACCGCGCTTGGAAAATCTGAAACGTCTGTGAAAAACGATGCTCCGAAAGCATTCGTGGAAACGAATGTGACCGGAGTAATTCATTACTCGTTCCTTCGAACTGCGAAGATAATTACTGTCGAAAAGTACTCTGCCAGTGCATCAACGAAACGCATGAAAAATTGAAAATTATACAACGCTCGGCAGCCATACGTCGTACGAAACAATTGCGAAATGAAATGAATTAAAATATGAAATTTTGCAGCATCCGACTTATTCGACGGATCTTTCGCCAACCGATCTTCATATTTTTTTAAACATTTAGAACAGTTTTTACGGGCTAAACGGTATGAAAATGAAGAAAGTCTGAATAATACCATCTCAGGGTTACTAAAGATCAGAATTTCTTTAGATAGAGCATTAAAATGCATTAAAATTCATTAAAATGCATTAAAATGCATTAAGATGCATTAATATGCACTAAGTTGCAATAATATGCATTAATATGCATTAAAATCTCGTTGGCAAAAGTGTATCGAAGCGAACGGAGCATATTTTGACTGAATGAACAGCTTTCGAAAAGAGATATGCAATTTTATACGTTCACTGAAAAATCCGACGTTTCATGCGCACCAACCTAATGTTTATTAACAAAATAAACGCGGCCCAATCGGAGAGCGAATTCGACCGACGACTTGTCGACTAACTTATGATTCGAAAATCGTACTCGCCCTTTAATTGGCTAGTGTCTTCTCGTTGGTAACTCGTCGAGGAAGCCGCGGAGGACATTTTCGCCGAGGAAAAAGCGTCCTCGAATGGCCTCGTTTAATTACACGTTTCATTATATTCGAACGTTTCTGTCTGTCCTGTCGTATCGATCGATCGGGAAATATACGAATCCCGTGACGCATCAAAATTCGCATCGGATTGGCAGCTTTCGAAGTGCAAAGCTGATTAACGATATATCGTCGAGAAGCGACACTCGACGAACCGCTAATTACGATTTAAACACGTACGAACGGTGCCGATCCCCGGTGTTTCGCGCCGAGTAAATAGGATCAGCTCAAATAAATAAAGGTGTCCCGACGATCGACGGTATTTAAACGCTCGCGGCAACGATTTTTCAGCTCGAGCGTTGATGTTGACCGTTCAATTTACATGCTACTCTTCGTAACAAGCCGACCTGTCAATCGGAAAACTATTGGGTTGGCAACTAAGTAATTGCCGATTTCAGTTATAGATGTCTCTCACTCCCATTTTTATGATATCCGTAAATGTTATATTATAAAATTATTATTATTATTATTATTATTATGTTATTTTTTATTATCCGTGAATGTTAGTATTCGAATACACGCTGCTGAGAAAAATTGTGCAACGTCCTGAAAATCGCTCGAGCAATGGTTTAGCATTGAACTTATATTAAATAGCATTTTATTGAGTTGGCAACTAAGTAATTGCCGATTTCTCAGTTATAGATGTCTCTCACTCCCATTTTTATGATATCCGTAAATGTTATATTATAAAATTATTATTATTATTATTATTATGTTATTTTTTATTATCCGTGAATGTTAGTATTCGAATACACGCTGCTGAGAAAAATTGTGCAACGTCCTGAAAATCGCTCGAGCAATGGTTTAGCATTGAACTTATATTAAATAGCATTTTATTGAGTTGGCAACTAAGTAATTGCCGATTTCAGTTATAGATGTCTCTCACTCCCATTTTTATGATATCCGTAAATGTTATATTATAAAATTATTATTATTATTATTATTATGTTATTTTTTATTATCCGTGAATGTTAGCAACTGGACAAATTGAATGCAGCGGTCAAGGAAAAGCGACCAGAATTGGTCAATCGTAAAGGTGTCATTTTCCAGCAGGACAATGCTAGGCCGCACACGTCTTTGTCCACTCGGCAAAAATTGATGGATATTGGTTGGGAATTGATGTTACACCCACCATATAGCCCTGATCTCGCGCCATCGGATTACCACTTATTTCGATCCGTGGACAACTTCCTTCGTGGTAAAACTTTTAACGACGATGACGCTGTAAAATCTCACTCGACTCAGTTTTTGGCCGAAAAGGATCAGACTTTCTACGAGCGTGGAATTTTCAAGTTGTCAGAGAGATGGCGAAAGGTCATCGAACAAAATGGAAAATACATTGCAGATTAACACGTTCCGTGCCACGTGTACCATCGATGGTACACGCTTGCATGTTTACTTAGTGAACTGAACAAATTGTTTACAAGAAATTTAGAACCGGAGAATCAATTTCCACCGCAAGAATGGGCGTTGATAAGTTTTTGTTACGTTGTTATGTGTACGAGAATTAATAATTGCACGTAATACATCAAGTTTTAGTAAAATATCAAAGTGTGAAGATTCAAGTAAAAAAAGCTCGGCACGGAACGTGTTAAACTTCGTTCCAAGTAAAAAAAAATTTTTTATTTCATTGAACAAATCGGCAATTACTTAGTTGTCAACCCAATATCATATTTGCTTTCATCCTTTATCGTTTCGATGGGGCGAGTTTGATCAAATTCGGCGTGAAAAAACAATTGTTCGACACTATCCGAGTTGGACTTCGTCGAAAATCGCGTCTACAGGGAAAAAGCGTTTAATAACAAAAAATAATAAACGGTGGTAACAAAATCATAGCGCGTAGTTTGTTAACACTAGATTTACGGAGCACAAACAAAAACAGTTTTATATTATTGTATTAATATTTATATTATATATTGTATATAATTATTATATGTTTTATATTAGTTTATAAAAGTAACAGTAAGACATTTGTTCTGATTTTTAACAAGCGTCATCGTAAAATTTGCCGTAAGTAACGTACAAATTGAACAAATAACTCGTAAATGTATCTTTACGATATGAATGATCGTAAATGAAAAAATTAGTAACCCGCCATTTTGACGGGTTCCGTAAATCTAGCGTTGAATACGATATGCATCTGTTACTATATATAAAGTGAACGAAATCGCACGATCATTTGCAATATTTTACTTAGCCTTCGTAATCTGAAAAAATGTCGAAGTCGAATATTCTTTGATTCGAACGTGTGTGATAAAGAGATTATCTCGAGGTTTAAGATTTTTGCACTCGTGGTAACGCGAAGGTCGCTGTATTACAGGTCATTGGTTCGGTCTTGACCCTAGTTATTACGTCATAACGATAAAAATATACTCTCCCTTTAAAAAAAAAAAATATCGACGAATTTGAGATCGTGTGAAGTATGATCGTGAAAAGAGTTTTCTGTTTATCGTAACATATGCCCTTTAAACGAGAGTGTTTTGAGTGTTTTGACAGTTTTTTATATTGTCGAGAACAGATAATTCAGTAAATTCTCCCTAATTTCCCTTCAATTTCTAAACAAAAATGGATAACTTGGGAAGAGAAGATACGATTATTCGACCACCGCGTTTCATTTTTATAGTTACCGATTATCATTTGGGATCGATTATAATACTCGCGATTTATGAAAGGAAATGAAATGAATAATAACGGAGCGCAGTGCCTCTCTTGTTTTTAGCTCCATTTCCGTCTGTTAAGTATAATAATGTCTCTATAATTGACGCTCAGATTGTCCACAAAAATGGACAATTTTGGAAAAGGAGATACGATTGTTCGAGCCTTGTGACTCGTTTTTTATAGTTATCGATTGTCAACATCTATAAAAACGAGTTGCAAGTCTCGAATAATCGTATCTCCTCTTCCAAAATTGTCCACTTTTATGCATAATCTGAGCTGTTAACATCAATAATAATAATAATAATAGTATAATAATAATAATATTAATAATAATAATAATAATAATAATAATAATAATAATAATAAAATGACAATTGTGCGCGAATGTTCGTACATTGGTTATGGCATTGGTTATGGCAGAATTTAACGAAATTAATATTCATTTAATAAAACGACGTTTCCATTAATAATATATAGACAGAAAGATTCGGTAATTTTAAGCGCAATTTGGAAAAAGAAGATAAGATTACTCGAGCCTTGCATCTGGTTTTTATAATCGTTGACAATCAACAACGAAAAAAATGAGCCGCGGGGCTTGAATAATTATGAAATCCAATAATTTCCTCTTCCCAAATTATCCATTTTCGTGCACAATCCGGGCGCCAATTAGGGAGAATTTACTGTATCGAATTCAACGGTGCAACATGTTGTAACAATATATATCATAGTATTCGATACAATTAACCCAAAGGGTAGAAAATGGTTCGCGCCAATCAGAGCAACGGACAAAGTGAAGCTTAGATCGCCGATACGATCGTCTGAAAGAAAAACAAGGAAAATTCAAAGGCGGCTCTTTGTTGGCTAACAAAATTACGTCGCTGAACACGAACTTTTGCAAAGGGTGAGCCGTAAGGTTTGCCTTGGCCAAACCAATCGATACGATGGAGATCGTGCTATTAGCGTGAACGTGAAACGTTCGGTGCAAAAAAAGTTCGAGCGAAACTCTCTGTTTCGTTTGAAGAAAAGAGGGAACACAGAGAACGTACCGATGAGTGCGATACGTTCGAACGACATCACGGGGATCGATATAATTAATTCACGGGCTACAAGCAAAATGTTGACGCTTACCAAATGAACCGGTGCAGCGATGATTACGCTGTGCAAATGTTTGAATGAAATTCGCGGAATCAAATAACTCGATCGGTTCGAATATGCAGTTAATTCTTCCCAAGTTTCCTTCGGCAACGAAAACGGGGAATTTGGGAAGAGGAGATGCGATCATTCGAGCCGCCTCCTTCTCGAGCCATAATCTCCTCGTTTTTATAATTTTCGACGATCGGGAAATAATTATAAAAATAAGCCGCGCGAGACTGCCAGCCAGCAAGGCTCAAGTAATCTTACAGCCTTTCTCCAAATTGCGCTTAAAATTACCGAATCTTTCTCTCTATATATTATTAATGGAACCGTCGTTTTATTAAATGAATATTAATTTCGTTAAACTCTGCCGTAACCAATGCCATAACCAATGTACGAACATGCGCGCACATTTGTCATTTTATTATTATTATTATTATTATTGTTATTATTATTGTTATTGTTATTATTATTATTGTTATTATTATTATTATTGTTACTATTATTATTATTATTATTGATGTTAACACGTTCCATGCCACGTGTACCACCGATGGTACACGCTTAAATGTTTATTTCACGCGCTAAAAGAATAGTTTATGACAAATTAAGAACCGAAGAATTCATTTCCACTAAAAAAAAATAGCTCATATTAAGATTGTGTTATTGCTACATATACGACAATCAATAATCGCTTATAATATATCCAGTTTTAGTAAAACATCAAATACAGTAATGTCTCCTTAACTGACGCTCGGATTGCGCACAAAAATGGACAATTTGGGAAGAGGAGATACGATTATTCGAGCCTTGCAACTCGTTTTTCTAATTGTTGACGATCGGCAATTATAAAAATAAGCCGCGCGAGACTGCTAGCCGTTCGAATGGAATTAGTTTTCGCAATTAATCGGCAGCTTTGCTCTTTTCAATAATGCAAAAAGACTTCTAGCAATTTTAAAAAGAAATCAGCAGACGTTCCGCCATACATTCGCACGTATTTCTGTATAATAAGTAATATCTCCCTAATTGACGCTTAGATTGCGCGCAAAAATGGACAATTGGGGAAGAGGAGATACGATTATTCGAACCTTCCAGCTCGTTTTTAAAGTTGTCGACAATTCGTGACTATAAAAATGAATCGCAAGGATCGGATAATCGTATCTCCACTTCCTAAATTCTCTATTTTTCTGAACAATCTGAGCGTCAATTAAAGAGACATTACTGTAGCCAGTAGAGTAAAAATGAAGAGCATAAAATAAAAACAGCTCATCGCAGAACGTGTTAACCAATACGAAAAATTCTGCAAAAATCTTTCTTCTTAATTATCATCAACGTTTGAAATTCGATTAGCCTATGAAACCATCGCAAAATGCAAATTATATACGTAACCGCTAAATAAAAATTCCCCCCAAAAAATGAAAATAAACTAAATCAAACATTCCAAGCACTATAGTTATTAAACGTTCGCGATACATTTCCTCCACGAATACTAAAGTAACATCGAAGCGAAACCATCATTTCCTCCACAGTCGGTTTCTCCATTGCAACCCGAGGAACCCTAAAATCTGAAAGTTCTTTACAGCGCCGAGTTCCGGTCGAGCTGTCGCTCGAGAAGCGTAAAATCCAGAGTTCATGATATTACTCGCCCGGGACTCGGCGAACTTTAATACCGCGAGTTATCATCATCGAGAACGCGCGAGAGACTTCTCCCGGGCCTTCTGGATCCTCTGGGAACCCCGGCTCCAGCAAGACGATCGTGCTTTCCCGGCCGAAGATTAAAAGCTACTTAACATTATCGCGTATCATTTACCTTGGGCAGCTGCTCGGCGTCGAATGCTCTTATTCGCGCCGGAAACGCGAGCGCTCTGCGACCTGGTGGCGGGCCTGCGTCTTCTGGTCGGGGTGCTGCTGTCGGGGGTGCCGCTCCCGCTGTCCTTCTCCCTGTCGACCCGGTCCCGTTCCCTGGCGCCCGAGGGTGGCATCGCCTCCAGCATTTGCTCCATGCTGGAGAACCCGGGCGCGCAGATCGACGCCGACCTGGTCTTCCTCCGCAGCGAATTCTCGGCCATCTTGCCCTCGTGTTCCTCGACGGATCTTCCGTAACACACCAGCAATTTCAGAGGCGCGCCTCGACGACACCCCTTTCTTTCTCTCGTCCGCTCTTCGTATCAGCGACACTCGGCCCTTCTCTCTCTCTCTCTCTCTCTCTTTCTCTCCCTTTCTCGCTCGCTCTTTCGATATTGGGCCGCGCAGCGTTCGCCGCTCGCCTATTGATATTTCAAAACCAATTTCCAACCCCTGTGGAACTGTCTCTTATCGCGCGGTGAATTTTTTATTGGCGCCGAAGCGGTTTCAGCCGGCTCGCGAACGTTTTCGTTGTACTTAGAGGACGCGAGGGGCGAACGAAGGGCGGGCCGTGACGCGCGCGCGCACGCCTCCTCCTCCCCGCACTTTCGCCCTTTCGAGCGGATCAAGATTCACGAGGCGTGCTCGGGAATCGCCCCCGGCGGATTTATGAGCTCCCGGAAGAGTAATCTTCCAGCTGGAGAACCGCCGAGCTTCCGGCCGCTTTGATTGTTATCCACGAAACGGAAGGTTCGCGCACCCACTCTCACGCACCCCGCGCACATACACACGGATATATATACGCGCGCGGCGGAACCTTTAGCGACCGCCGCGAAGCCGGTCTTCCGTTGAAAGTTTTTTTCGCGCGGAACTCGCACACGGAGAGAGAAATAGAGGGAAAGAGAGAGAGAGAGAGCGGACACTTATCGATCGAGCGTGGGAAAACAATGACTGCGGCCTTCTGTCCTCGCGCTCCGGCGCTCGCTCGAGAGTTCACTCTCCCGCCGACGAAACTTGAATTCTGAAGCAACACGTGGTATCGCAGACGTTAATTGTAACGGAACGGGGGACGCGGAGCCCGCGAACCGTTTGAAACCACGGCGACAAAACTTCGCCGGGGGCGAAGTCGGCTTCGCCGGCGATCAAGGGGGTTTTCGACTTTAGTTTCGACGCGACGATTACAAGCTGGTCTCGGGCGGAAGTTTTTGCCTTCGAGAGCGGACCGCCTCGGACTGTGTAATTCGATGGCTGACGGGCTCGTTAAGTCGTATTCGAATTTTTTTCAAGCGATTGGAACGATCTTCTTCGAGGTTCTGGTGGTCTGTGTGACAGGGTGTGATTGTGGTCGTGACTGTGTTTTTGTGAGTTTTTGCTGTGAATCAGTGTCGATGGAACTGACGTGGTTTTGTTCAGTGTAATCGATTTATTCGTATAGGAATGAAAATTGTTAGGCTTGAACAATTTTCGCTCGTTTCTAAATTTTTGATTTCTCGTCGATTTGAACTGCGACGTTGTTTAGCGTCGAGAGATCGTTGTTGATCGAAAGAAAACGCTAGGTTGAGAGTTGATAGTCTAGATAAGTGATGGCGAACCTTTTTGAGAAGTAGGACAAATTTTGTTCATTTTTTTTTTTAGTATTGATTCATGGGTCGACAGTTATTATATATTATTATTATACTATTATTATATATACTATTATTATTATACTAATATTATTATACTAGTATTATATATACTATTATTATTATACTAATAGTATTATACTATTATTATATATACTATTGTTATTATACTAATAGTATTATACTATTATTATTATTACTATTATTATTATACTAATATTATTATTACTATTATTATTATTATTATTTTATTATTATACCATTATATATATTATATTTTATATTATATATTTTATATCGTTAATATTTTCGATTGTTTGTTCCCTCTTTTACGATATAAAAACTAAGTTTATAAAAATCAACGCGTGGGTCATTTAAAAAGCCTACTTGGATCAGTGTCTGACCCGCGAGTCAAAGGTTCGCCACCACTGGATAATAATTCGAAAAATGATGCTTCCTGTAACTCTGTATGTAATTCTATACGTGTTTACATTACCGTGAGAAATATTAATTTACTGATAATCTAGATGAAAAAAGGAAATTTTCGAAATTACCGTAAAGTAACCAATTGCTGTGGTTTTGGTTCGCTTGTCATTGAAGCATAAACGAGATAAAAGACTAAAAGAGTTTAATATTCGACAAATGCGAAGTTAATTATCCCCGAAAACAATCTAAAGGCGTGGCAACTGGCCACCCCACAATGACCGGCTCTCCCCGCTACCCTTATCTGCCAAGCTTCGAGTTACTTGACTGATCAAATTTTTACATGTCACGTTCACTGGGTCAGAGAAAGCTATTTTAAGAAAACCACTGTTAAAATTTCAGGTGCCTGGACCTCGAAGGACAGTGCATCCATATTGTATAATGCTTCGTGGGAGACAAAAGAAAGGGCGCCTATTCGGATGCAACAGTCGTGCACCATTTTGTGACTCGTAACCACAATTTATACTCGACTAATACTATTTTCTATTCCAAAGTTATGCCAAACATTCCGGATTAAATCGTTCAAACCTTTGAAAAATATGTTCGAAGAAAAGTTGAACTGAATAAATTGATAAAAACAAAAAAAGGTCGAGCTAGAGAGACCGTCGGAAAATTATTTTGCATATTTCAGATTCGTTGCAAATAATTCTGTATGCCGAACGAAGCGCGGGTTGATTGAAAAATGTATTTTGCAACGGAAAAATTGGAGATATTTTTTTCCGGAATGAAAAACGTCCGTGGAAAGTTGCGAACAATTCGTTTTTTTCCAGTCGGCAAGGACCGTTCGCGATTGCTTTTTTCCCCCAAGGCATTAAATGTTGCGGCTCTCTGTTGTGTGTTTCTTTCTCTTGTACACAGGTACTGCGTTAATTAATTTGTTCGAACGAGAACGACCTAGTAGCGCTGCCGACGATAATTAGCATCGAAATTACCGAACGTATAATATGTCATATTTTTCGTCGACCCTAACCCTTTGCCTCGTGAGCATCGATGAATATCTTGTCGATCGCTCTGTGCACAGTTTCTTGCGAAAAAGCTTCATTAATTTATTTATTTGTTTTATTATTTATTTTTTTCTCATTTCGAAATATGCTGGAACATTCAAAGTTTTCGAATATATTTCAGTTTTTGGAAAAGTTCTATCACAAATAGCAAATTTTCTGTAACNCCCGCGAGTCAAAGGTTCGCCACCACTGGATAATAATTCGAAAAATGATGCTTCCTGTAACTCTGTATGTAATTCTATACGTGTTTACATTACCGTGAGAAATATTAATTTACTGATAATCTAGATGAAAAAAGGAAATTTTCGAAATTACCGTAAAGTAACCAATTGCTGTGGTTTTGGTTCGCTTGTCATTGAAGCATAAACGAGATAAAAGACTAAAAGAGTTTAATATTCGACAAATGCGAAGTTAATTATCCCCGAAAACAATCTAAAGGCGTGGCAACTGGCCACCCCACAATGACCGGCTCTCCCCGCTACCCTTATCTGCCAAGCTTCGAGTTACTTGACTGATCAAATTTTTACATGTCACGTTCACTGGGTCAGAGAAAGCTATTTTAAGAAAACCACTGTTAAAATTTCAGGTGCCTGGACCTCGAAGGACAGTGCATCCATATTGTATAATGCTTCGTGGGAGACAAAAGAAAGGGCGCCTATTCGGATGCAACAGTCGTGCACCATTTTGTGACTCGTAACCACAATTTATACTCGACTAATACTATTTTCTATTCCAAAGTTATGCCAAACATTCCGGATTAAATCGTTCAAACCTTTGAAAAATATGTTCGAAGAAAAGTTGAACTGAATAAATTGATAAAAACAAAAAAAGGTCGAGCTAGAGAGACCGTCGGAAAATTATTTTGCATATTTCAGATTCGTTGCAAATAATTCTGTATGCCGAACGAAGCGCGGGTTGATTGAAAAATGTATTTTGCAACGGAAAAATTGGAGATATTTTTTTCCGGAATGAAAAACGTCCGTGGAAAGTTGCGAACAATTCGTTTTTTTCCAGTCGGCAAGGACCGTTCGCGATTGCTTTTTTCCCCCAAGGCATTAAATGTTGCGGCTCTCTGTTGTGTGTTTCTTTCTCTTGTACACAGGTACTGCGTTAATTAATTTGTTCGAACGAGAACGACCTAGTAGCGCTGCCGACGATAATTAGCATCGAAATTACCGAACGTATAATATGTCATATTTTTCGTCGACCCTAACCCTTTGCCTCGTGAGCATCGATGAATATCTTGTCGATCGCTCTGTGCACAGTTTCTTGCGAAAAAGCTTCATTAATTTATTTATTTGTTTTATTATTTATTTTTTTCTCATTTCGAAATATGCTGGAACATTCAAAGTTNAGTATACTTATATATACTAATATATATATATATATACAAATATATATAAATTAGTGTTATTAGTATCAGTATTATACATATATTTTTTTTAGTNCGGGACTGCCAGTCCCTATTATTCGGTACAGTAAATTTTTCCTAATTCGCGCTCAGCTTGGAAACAAAAATGGACGATTTGGGAAGAGGAGGTACGAATATTCGAGCCTTGCGGCTTAATAATTATTGATTATAGTTGCTAACTATAAAAACGAGCCCACAAGGCTCAAATAATCGTATCTCCTCTTCCTAAATTACCTTTTTTCGTGTACAAGCTGAGGGCTTGTAAACGAAATATATATATATATATATAACTATATGAGAACTAGTATTCACATGAGAATTCACACACACATACACGCATACAATAACGTGAACGAATAAATTAATTTATTAAATGATTCTCACCGAAAGTAGGAAAAATTTTGTCAACCATTTTTAGCTTTTTCGTTTTTAGCCCGTGTCTAATTCCTTAATTTCCGAAAATTCGCAACAGAATCGAAAGATTAATTGCAGAAACTAAATTATCGCGAACGCGGAAAACGATATCGGTATAATTAGAACGAAGTGTAATTTCTTAGCTGAAAGTGTGGTACGTTATATACGAGCCTCGCGTTACCGAATCGTAAAACGCTGCAGGAATCGTCATTCCTCCCGCGTCAAGCTGGATGGGCGCTAATGGAACCCCATGGGCGTCCCGCAAAAGCCTTTATACGGACAAAACAGTCTATTGATCTGTTTTCTTTGAAAGTGAATGACGCATTTTATTACGCTTGAGGTGCAACGTTAAGTGGAAGAGATCAACCTGTGCGCGGCCGCGCTCGCTGTTTACGGGTTCCGAGCCGCTGACAGAAAATTTTCAAATTAAAATCTCACGCTCGTGTAATCACTGTGATCCGGTGTATCAACCGTCTGCCCTCGCGGCGCTATTTCGAGTTCAGAGAACACATCCGTTTCAGAAAGGTATTGTAAACGGCAGAAAAATAAACTGAAATAGAGCGTGTCTCTGCTCGTACCGCATCTAAATTTTTACCAATTTATTAAATGCAAACTTTAGCGACGTGAACATTATTTGAAACTCGAGGCGATACGAGTTTTCGACCGCGACGCGTTTTAGTTAAGAACTGTGGGCGTTTTGTTATTTGCATAATGATCGTTATGATTGGATAGACTAATCGGATGCGAGAGCTTTTTGTTAATCGGTTAGCTGTGTTCGACGAGTATACTCGTCGTGGAGAAGTGATAGTATATATATATATATATATTTTGCGTCACGACGAGTATACTCGTCATAGAGAATTTTGTGTCATGACGAGTATACTCGTAATAGAGAATTTTGTGTCATGACGAGTATACTCGTAATAGAGAATTTTGTGTCATGACGAGTATACTCGTCATAGAGAATTTTGTGTCATGGCGAGTATACTCGTCGCGGAGAATTTTGTGTCATGACAAGCATACTCATCGTGGAGAAATTGCAGTATAAATATACTGCGTCGTGATAAAATTATCACGGAGAATTTTATGTCATGACGAATATACTAGTCGTGGAGAAATTGCAGTATATTTTATCACGACGAGTATACTCGTCACGGAGAGTTTCTGTGTCGTGACGAATATACTCGTCATGGAGAAGTGACAGTATATTTTATCACGACGAGTATACTCGTCACGGAGAATTTTGTGCCATACGACGAGTATACTCGTCGCGCGTAAAAAGTAACGTTAATTCGCAATATAAATTGTAATTTTAGTGAAAACAAAAACGTATTCTCAAATTTCAAGATGTTTAGTATATTTTAGGTCGAATCCTACGCGATGGCGTTTACATTATTATAAAAATAAAATTAGAAAAGAATCACGAAAGAATTCCACTCTGCAGCAGCAATTTGAATTTTTAACTTTTATAAGTATTCGATTTTTCCTGCGTTTTTCATTTATCATGTACGCATGTATTTATTATGTATGTTAAATGAATAAGTAAATATTAGTAATAAGTAAAAAGACAAAAAATAATCAATAATGAATCCATAATATATATATATATAATAATAATAATGAATATAATCCGTATAATCCTTTCGCCGTCGTAAAGCAAGAGAAAGGCAAATAGATTTCCATCGAAAAATATTATATAAAAACTAGAAGCTAAATAAACTGTAATCCCATCCAACCGGATCTTCCATCACGAGGTAAACTCACGTAACTCATTCCCCGACATATCAAATATCTCTCACCTTTATCACACGCTACACCGACACGAGTCTCCGAACAGATGCATGATTGAAACGTGGTTAACGGGTTCGCGAAATATATTTTACACGTCGAATGAAAATGATTTTTCTTCGCGCCAACAATTTCTTCGAAATTATATCACTGAATTTATATTACTGAATTTTGTTGTTCATTTTGCAGTTTCGATTTTATTTCATATTCTTGTAATTATTCCAAGTTTTTTCATCTAAGAGAAGAGAGAGAGGCTCAAGATATTTTGAAATTTAGTGAAATTGTGCACAATTTGTAGCACGCTGATAAACTAATTTTGTCTCCCACGATGGTAAATTAACAATAATGGTAAATTATAATATAAAAGATAATAAATAATAGATAATAGATAATAATAGATAATAAAAATAATAGATAATAGATAATAATAGATAATAAATAATATTATAATAAATAATAGATAATAAATAATATTATAATAAATAATAGATAATAAATAATATTATAATAAAATTATAATATATAAATTATAATATAATAATGGTAAATTATATGATTTAGATTTAGTTTTTGTTTCGCGATAAATGCTTTCCAGAAAATTATTCCAACAGCATTCGTATCCTTCCTCCTCGTACATTTTCATAAACAGTTATGCACACGTCAAAATTATTTAACACTAAACCTACCGCGGTCAAAGCGACCGCTTTCTTATTTCGCAATTCTGCAAAGTTCCGAGACTCTTTCGTGCAAAACGCTCGAATAAGTCATATTATTGCAGCAAGTTTTATAATAAAAACTTCACGAATTCCAAACAAATTCGGTCTTCTCACTTTTGTGAAGCAGTTATATGCCAGTTAGTATTACTGCTTGGTAGGTTTAGTGTTAATTGAGCCGTTTATTTTGCAAGTGGCATAAGAGCACTTTCTTCTTTTTTTTTTAAATGAAAAGATACCGTTCAATTGTAATTAGTATTACCATTAACTCGATTTTTCTGAAAAAGTGACTTATGCCACTTTCAAAATAAACGGCTCGATTCTTGTTCGCGACCGAATGTGTAATACCGATTTATGACACGCGTTCTCGACAAATATTCAACAATTATATTGAATTATCCGCAACGATCTCTATCGGTTGAAAACAACTCTCAAAATCGCGCACAAAGAACACGATATTAAGATATCTCTTCATAATTACGTATCACAATTAAACCGTCTAGGAAAGAGAATACGATGATCACGCATTCTCGACAAATATTCAACAATTATATTGAATTATCCGCAACGATCTCTATCGGTTGAAAACAACTCTCAAAATCGCGCACAAAGAACACGATATTAAGATATCTCTTCATAATTACGTGTCACAATTAAACCATCTAGAAAAGAGAATACGATGATCACGCGTTCTCGACAAATATTCAACAATTATATTGAATTATCCGCAACGATCTCTATCGGTTGAAAACAACTCTCAAAATCGCGCACAAAGAACACGATATTAAGATATCTCTTCATAATTACGTATCACAATTAAACCATCTAGAAAAGAGAATACGATGATCACGCATTCTCGACAAATATTCAACAATTATATTGAATTATCCGCAACGATCTCTATCGGTTGAAAACAACTCTCAAAATCGCGCACAAAGAACACGATATTAAGATATCTCTTCATAATTACGTGTCACAATTAAACCATCTAGAAAAGAGAATACGATGATCACTCGTTCAGATCGTATTTTCGACAATGACGAATCTCGTCGCTAAGGAAAACGCTCCAAAATATTCGCACCCGAGCAGATCTCCTAGATACGAAATATTTCGAGAGAAGTCCGCGTCGAACATTTATCAAAAGCCAGCCGCGTCGTCCGTAAATTTCATTAACCTGTTGACGGGCGAAGGCGACTTAACTCGTCGTTCGTATCCTTCACCGTCGCGCCCGGTAACTTTTCATATCCTTTGAAATTGAACGCACGATTCCCCCCGTTCCACGGCGTCCCGCCGTTCACATTAATACACCAAATATCTCGCATCGATCACGATCAAATATTCGCCGGGTCGATCTATCCGACGTTACATTGCTTAGCAAACGTTCGAAATTACAAGATCACGGATTAAAGACGCCGAACACTGAAAATCCGAGATAATGCCAGCGAGATAAAATCAGCCTAAAAGGCGCCCTATCAATCTCCATTAACCCCTTAACGCACAGTTTTTTTGAGAAAAGAAACCGGTCAAAAAGAATCGTTTTTTTACAATGTAAAAAAATACAATTTAGAAGATTGTCTATATTTTATTCTTGAATAAATAAGTAATTATAGAGCTTAGAGTCCCATGTAAACGATAAATATCAATAAAACGATATTTTCTTCTTTCACATTGTTAGTTGTCAATTCTCGATTATATTCGAGTCTGAAAAAATTACAGCAGCATAAAATACATCACCGCTCGAATTATCTCGAGTGTGCACAGCTTGGCCCGTTCAGCGCGCTCGAATTAACTCGGGCGTGCAAGTTAAGGGGTTATTAACCCCTTAATGCACAGTCTTTTTGAAAAAGGCCGGCCAAAAAAGATCAATTTCTTTTAATGTAAATAAAACACAATTTAGAACGTTGTCTTGGCAAGAAAATGACAAAAATACAAAAATAATCAACATTTTTATTGCAATTTTGAATCAGAATCTGAATATGAATACGCTGTCGGAAAGCGGCTCACAAGGAAGAGATAAGTCGTAAGCGATAAGTAGAAAAAGGATATATTTTATACTTGAACAAGTAAGTGTTATATAGCTTACAATCCCATGTAAATGATAAATATCAATAAAACGATTGTCTTTTCTTTGCTTTTACATTGTTATTTCAATTCTCGATTATATTCGAGTGCGAACAAATTAAAGCAGCATAAAATACACCACCGCTCGAATTATCTCGAGTGTGCACAGCTTGGCCCGTTCAGCGCGCTCGAATTAACTCGAGCGTGCAAGTTAAGGGGTTATTGAAACATTGAAAAAATTCGAGGCTTCCGTCGGATGATCGAATACCGATCGCGTCGCTTTCTCGGATCGAAAGAGGATAACAATCGGCCGCCTGGCAGCCATGTGTATGTGTATGCCTGTATGTGTGTGTATATATATGCCTGTGTGTTTGCGTGCGTGTGTGCGGAGTCCAGCATCCGTCCGACCGTTCCGAGGGGAAACCGTTGTAACGAAAAACGGTGGTTCTTTTTTTTCTTTCCGGTGGAAACGGAGGTCGCGCTTACTACTTCCGGTGGCCGGGTAGCTTGCCGAATCCGTTCGTCATCTTCCGAGCCGTTCCGTCACATGTCTCGCGATACCACACGCGGCCAGAAACGAAAGGTCCACACAGAACAACAAAAAGGAACACAACACGGCGACGCACGTCCGACGTAGCGCGGCACACTGAGGCCGCGGGGCAGCGGCGTCGCGACGTCAGGCGTCGCGGAGCCTCGGCACGCCTCGTCGGGACGCTCGGCGAACCTCGTGCTGGCCGGAGTCCAATCGTGTAGGTTTTCGTCGGCGTCGTGCCGCCGCCGCCGCCGCGTAGCAGCGTCGTCGTCGTCGTTCCGAACCGCAATCGAATCGGCGAAACGCGCCGCGCATCGTGCACACAGGCCCGCGGCGACCGGGCCTCGTTTATTACCGGCGATTAGCTCATTCCCACAGGTCGCGCCGTTTCTTATCGCACACCCGTTACCCGTAAACACCTGCGCCTCGCTCCCCCGGAGATATTTTTATAGACGCTTCTCCGCCGCCCTCGTCAAATTTCTTTTCTCTCCCACCTTTGCTCTTTGTATCCGGCTTTCCTTCGGGCTTTACGACGCTCTTTGGTACACTCTTCGGTGCGCTTTCCGTGCTTCGCAACACGCTCCGCGGATCCGCGCTCCTCTTCGCGATTCGACGCGATACTATTTCGGGGATGATCGGGCTTCGAACTGATAATTCGACTTTGCGCCGCGCGAGCGCGGATAGCGCGGTGTTCGGTGAGTTTTTGACAACTTTTACGAGATCGTGTTTTGTTCGAACGCGCCTTTGCGGAGGGAATAATCCTTTTGAAATAATAAACAAAAATTAGAAGTAATCTAGGAATTGGTCGAAACGAATGCTTTTTCGATTTTATATTTGCTAGTTTGCTGAGGAACGCACAGAAATTCTTTTAGGTTGCAAATGGTTGGAAGGAGAAACACAATTAAAAAATGATGTGTCTTCGAGCTATTTTTGTCTGAGACTGTAACAATGAAAATTTGAGAGACTTGAATTGTTTTTTGATGTTATATTAGCTAGTTTGCTGAGGAACGACGGCACAGAAATTCTTTTAGATTGCAACTGGTTGGAACGAAAAATCAATTTAAAAAATGATGTGTCTTCGAGCTATTTTTGTCTGAGACTGTCACAATGAAAATTTGAGAGACTTGAATTGTTTTTTGATGTTATATTAGTCAGCTTGCTGACGAGTGAATGCACAGAAATTCTTTCAGAGTGCAACTGATTGGAACGGGAAATACAATTAAGAAATGACGTGCCTTCGACCTATTTTTGTCTGAGACTGCCATAATGAAAATTTAAGAGACTTGAACCGTTTTTTGATGTTATATTAGGCAGTTTGCTGAGGAGTGAATAGACAGAAATTCTTTCAGATTGCAACTGGTTGAAACGAGAAATCAAATTAAAAAATGACGAGTTTTCGACCTATTTTTGTCTGAGACTGTAACAATGAAACTTTAAGAGACTCGAATCCTTTTTCGACGTTATATTAGCCAGTTTGCTAAGAGCTAAATGCACAAAAATTCCTTCAAGTTGCAACTTTCAGATTGCAGAAATCGAATTCAAAAAGGCCGAGTCTTCGACCTATTTTTATCTGAGACTGTAACAATGAAACTTTAAAAGACTCGAATCCTATTTCGACGTTATATTAGCCAGTTTGCTAAGAAGTGAAAGCACAAAAATTCTTTCAGATTGCAGATATCGAATTAAAAAAGTGACGTGTCTTCGACCTATTTTTATTTTGCCCTGTAACAACGACGATTTAAGAGATCAGTTTCGCTAAACAGAAATTTTCTAGCTGGAACGACGATTCGTGGCACTGCGTGACCAATAGGATGACCTAATGGTTCCGAGTAACGTTTGAACTTCGCCTAGATATCTTTTTCCCGAGGCTGGAACAGTGAGAAATGGCTCGCGGCTGAGAATGATGGCTCGCTTTCCGGGAAAGTCGAAAGCGAGCCAGCAAGTTTCCAGCGAAAAATCGCTTCCGAGAGAGATGGATCGTCTCTTTTTAATTCGAGATTCAATAGTTCGCTTTTACGCCGCCTTCGAAAACTTTCAAGATTCCGGAGTCGCGCGCGCCGACCGTCTCAAGGAGGAGGTCGGGAACTCTTCCCCGGCGTGCGCCCGAGCCTCTTTGTTCGGTTGGCTGCGCTGAAACTTCTCCTTTGTTTGCCTGGTTAATGGATCCTTTCGTCTTAGCGCTGCTTTAGACGCGCTAATTTTACTGTCACGGTTAAGCACTCGGACGACACGTGTCGCCCAATTAAAACGTAACTGATTTCGACGAATGTTTCGCGGTTTACTGAACGTGATTATTATTAACTTATTTCGTGCTGAATGGAGTAATAAACGTATTGTAGAAGAAATAGCCACTTTTTTTATTATTCTTATGACTCTATGTTGTATTTTATCAGTGTATTGTATTATATTATTATTATATTATAGATTATATTATTTGTA